ATACAATTTTTATATGAAACTTATGATTGCTTACCAAATGGACAACACCAAGGAATTAAAATGATACACTTTAGATACAAACAGAAAAGAATAAGTTTTTAATTCATATAAAACAATAGAGAAATCAACAAATTCTGGCTTTAGATGGTAACAAGATAATAAAAAAGAGGGTAAAAGAAAATATCAGTTATATAATCATAACATTATATTTACACTTACATTTAAAATACACCATTATTTTGTTTTGAGATCAAATTTTGATTTGTCTATACTAAACAATCATAATTGTCAAATATAAGTGTCAAATATTATATTTTTTAGAAGAAAAGCATCAATTATTTTCAAGATATTTCATTGCAATTAATCTATCATTGAGTTCTTCGGAATGTTATTTCTTTGTGGTTAACAAGAAGGCGTGCTTTTTTAGAATACAGAAATGTTATTCATAACGAACTTAATACATATTTGCTATTGCAAAGGTCTAAATGTAGCTATAAGTTTTAAAGACACACCTATTTGATGACTTGAACGGCCTTTGCAAAAGCGCTAGTCTCGGAGAACGACAAAAACCGAATAATACATTATCTTATTATACAGCTATAGTGAGTACTGGTTTCCCAATCATTTTTAATTTGACATTGAAGTACATATGTAGAGGAGACAAGGTCTTAGGAGACATATTTCTTCAACTGAGGTAAAGGTAATAAAAAATTCATTGTTTTATTATCATACATTATTTGAACATTTTTTTTCTTCATAATGTTGCCTTTCGTTAGTAATTATACATTTCATAGTATTTATGAATAAAAGAACATATTAATAAAAATGATGTTTTAACCCCTAATATTTTGTAAATTTTACATTATCTATGTTATGTAATTTTATGTTTAATGTTAAGTTTAACCCATTACTTCATGAGCATGTTGTGAAAAATGGAAGTTTTCATTAAAAAGTCTCCCGTTACAAGTTCAAATTGCTATAAAACTACAAAAACTGTTTCAATACTAATCAAACTTGGCACAAATGCTGACTGGACCATTGCGTTTGTAACAACACGCCCAGGCTTAGATATCATATTACAATGGCAACGAGGGTCATTTCGAAATTGCCAAAAATCACTATTTTGCGTTGATTTTTTTCCATCAAAATTGATTTCAAAGGCCTGCAACAACTCAATGGATTAAGAGAGTGTCAAATAATTTTAAGCGTTGGTTACACGTTAACTTATGATCTATCTGAAGTCATTTTTAGCCTCTCACAAGTCCAAAATTTATTTTCTTGGCGATGAGGGGGACTGCCGCCTCTTTCAAACCCCTTAAACATAAGGGGGCACAACCCCCTTCTGGCAAAACCCTGATGTATCGTTTGGTTGGGGTGGGGGGCGGGGCGCCGAATAAGTGGTCACTTTTTTCAACAATTTTTCTTGAACAAAAACAAGTGTAAGGGGCCTAAATAAGGGCATTTTGTCACCATTTGAGACAACAAAAGGGGGTGGATTGAACAAGGCGTTAAAATGCGTACTTATGGTGTAATGGGTTAATATAAAGTTTTGTGATAAGGATTCACAAATCACGTTATAACTTTATTCGCGATACTTTGCATTCATTCGCGTAATAACGCCTTACCTATATCTTATTTTATCTGATTTGATACTATAAGGATTTCGTTAAAAATTTCATCTCTCCGGCTGATAAACAAACTATCCCGCCTCTATTCAATCCTGTTACATGTGAACTTGTTTTTGATTCATTTTCAAAAGCAAATATTCTGAATGAATTCTTTTCTGCACAAGCTTCAATAATCAACCAAAACACTGAATTTCCTAGAAACCTTTGCCAATCTCCAAGAAATAAACTAGAAATGTGTTGCATATCCCCTCAAGATGTAGAAGACGCTCTAAGATCTTTAAAAACAAACAAAGCTTCAGGACCAGATGGAATAAATAACAGAATACTACGAGAAACTGCATCTGTTCTTAAACACCTTTTTGTTCTCTATTCAATCAATCTCTTCAATGCAGTACGTGCCCCTTATGTTGAAAGATGCAAATGTATGTGCAGTTTTTAAGAAAGGTGACCCCTCATTACCGAACAATTATCGACCAATATCTTTACTTTGTTGTATAGAAAAGGTACTTGAGCGTATTATATTCAAATATGTTTTTAACTTTTTTCGTGATAAAAAAATTTCTTTCTTCTGTACAGTCTGGCTTTACACCAGGAGACTCAACAGTTAATCAGCTTACTTATTTATACAACAGCTTTTGTAAGGCTCTCGACGATGGATTAGAAGTAAGAACAGTATTCTTTGATATAAGTAAAGCTTTCGACAAGGTATGGCATGATGGTCTTCTCTATAAATTAAAAAATGCTGGATTAAATGGAAAATTGCTGAACTGGTTCTCTGATTATCTTTCTAACAGACGTCAATCTGTCGTTCTTCCAGGAGCTCATTCTAATTGGTCAACTGTAAATGCAGGAGTTCCTCAAGGATCTATTCTTGGGCCTCTGTTGTTCCTGGTATACATTAATGATATTGTTGACGATTTAAACTCAAGTATACACCTCTTTGCCGATGATACTAGTTTGCACATAATAGTTGACTATCCAATAGCTGCCGCGACAACTCTTCAATCTGATATTGATAAAAAATTTCAAGTTGGGCTGATAAATGGCTTGTAACATTCAACCCTTCTAAATCGGAAACTATGATCATGTCACGCAAAACAAATAAGCCTTATCATCCGCCACTTCTAATGCATGATCAGCCTATCTCCTCAGTAAATAGTCATAAACATCTTGGTCTTTACTTTTCTGATGATTGCTCTTGGCATGTACATATTAATTCTATCAAAGAGAAGGCTTGGAAAAGAATTCATATCATGAGAAAACTTAAATTTACACTAGACAGAAGATCACTATAAGTTATATATCTATCATTCATAAGACCTCTCATTGAATATGCAGATGTAGTCTGGATCAACTGTACACAATATGAAAAACTTGAACTTGATAAAATTCAACATGAAGCCGCCCGTATAGTCTCAGGGGCCACTAAACTTGTATCTCTTCAGGAACTTCAAAGAGAAGTTCTTTGGGAATCGCTCGAAAGCCGTAGACAGAATCACAAACTTATTTTGTTTTACAAAATGAAAAACGGTCTCACACCAGATTATTTATCGTCCTTAGTTCCACCATCAGTTGGAGAAACGTCTATGTACAATTTACGAAATGCTTCTGACATGCAAACAATACGTACAAGAACTTCTCTTACCATAATGCATTTCTGCCATCTACTTTGAGAGATTGGAACTTACTATCAACAGAGGTACAAAACTCAATATCTTTGTCCTCTTTTAAAACGCAACTTAAAGGTAACATAAAAAAATGCCCCAAATACTATTATATAGGTGAAAGAAAATGGCAAGTCATGCATACCGGCTCCGAACAGAATGTAGCTCTTTAAACCATCACTTATTCAGAAAAAAATATGTCCCCTCACCAAATTGTCAATGTGGTCTCCTGGAAAGTAACCACCACTTCTTCTTTGAGTGTCACTTCTATAATGATATCAGACTCAGACTATTTGATGCTGTTTCTAATATTTGTACTATAACACTTCATACCTTACTAAACGGAGACCAGAATCTTAGCCATGACATTAATTCTAAAATTGTTCAAGCAGTTCATGTATATATACGTGAAAAGTAACCGATTTTCATGAGCAAATAATATGCCAACTTGACCTATCCGAATGAATCTTCTTTACCTTCTTTCTTATTCTTTTTCAATTATTTATATTCTTAAAAAAAAATCTTTTGAACAATAGATAAAATCTTCGATTTTTTTCGTTTCAAATATGTTAAAAATTAACTTCATTGTTTCAAACAATATTGCAAACACTGTCATAATTTAACTGCATTGTGCAAATATGTAGGAGAAGACCTTTATAAGCTTTATAGCTTTCGGCTCTAATCCTTTTTCATTCGTGTATCTAATTATTGTAAATGTATTAACAACATGTACTTGTATCATTGTTTGAAATAAACTATGTTTAAACCAAGGATTTCGTATAAATGACAAATTATTTATAAAATCAAATTATAGAGTGAAGTCATTAGTAAAACAGTACTCGTTTCCTTTTACCATCATAGATTCTGAAATGTAATGAAGTGACAACGTTAAAAAAGGGGGAAAAAGTAACTACCAATTAAAGTTTGACCAAGTTCATTTTAATGATAAAATAAAACCATTGTTCGTGCACCATTTTTAAGCCAGGCATTATTTTAGTTACTCTAACATTCATAATTTTAATATAACAGACATTTTAAAAAAAAATTGACATAGTGAGATACCATTACACAGAGTAGAGTCAGGGTACATTTGTTATTATATCGTTATCCAATTAGTTTCATTTGTTGTTAAAATTCGTAATAAAACAGACACATTTCCATTATAATATTATATTTGCAATGAATAGTGAAATGGGATAGGGCAATAAATATTTTTATTTGGTAAAGATACCATGCCAATGCACATTTTCAATATAATTTCACGAAATATCCTATCATAAACGTATCATAATTCGAATTAAATTCTTTGCATAATTAGTATTGTTTACATTTTTGAAAGGGATAGACTTTTGTATTGTTTTGAACAAGCTCTTTCGTCAAAGATCAAATATTTTGATATCATACATCTTTTTGTTATGCATGAAATGACAGTTGCGTGATCATAACAATTTGCTTTTTACGTATGTCTAATTTATTTTTGTAAAACACGCAATACACTTTGTCAAGACGTCAACTTTTCAAACAATCCATTCATTCGTGGTGCTAAAATATTTTAACTGATTTATATCTCGTGTTTATCGACTGATTTATTAATATATTTTACTACAAAACAACTTCTGACAATTATCATAAATAATATTTTTGAATAAAAATTGCCTTTGCTTTTCATGGTAAATGATATGGAAAATTTTAATCAAATTTCAGTGGCCTATCTACAAACGATCTGACGATTGTATTTTGTGTATATACAACAACCTGAAACGAAACAAAAATGACGATAAAGTATACGTTTGTATGTTTGTCCCTTATCATTCTACACGTCTCTGCAAAAGAACCAATAGAGTCAAAGGTATTAGTTCATAACGTTTATTTGTACATGTATTATACAATTCATACGTATATTGACCCCCTTTAAATTATTATATCAGATATAAAAAGAGCAATACAAAACTGAAAGTTTTGATATATAATTTAAATACACCGTATGTATAAATGGTACAGTGAATATATGATGAATTTAAGGATTTATACACATTTTTCCTTACTTGTCTAACAAGATACATTTTTGTGTCATCTTTTCTAATTTTCTCATATATAGATAATAAGGGTATACTAAAATATAAAAATCTTAATTAAGAGAAAAGATAACATAAGTATAAAAAATAATTATATTTAGATAATTCATTTTTTTCACTTTAAGGATGGCAGAATGGTAGGACACGACATGACTACATATACGAATAATGAGACTGTTTTACTGCGTATGTATGCTTGATCTTCAAATAACCTTCAAATGAATCTGTAACAGCAAAGATTGTGTTTATCTGAAGTTGAGCAAATGTTAAGATTGTTCACCTGTAGGGCTGTTTTAGACAATAAAGTACCACTCTTTGTTATAAAAAATCTCTTATTTTATTAATGATTTTAAACATCACTCTGCCAAAACCTCTTGACATGAATTCTGTAGATCTTTGCCAAATTAAACACATATCTGTTCACTTTACCAAAGGGTTTTTGGAATTCACATTACCTTGACAAAAAGCAAGTGACTTTTATTACATTTTCAGCGGTTCATGGTAAAGACGAAAACTTGTGCAAGATCTTTTCGTTTGCTGTCATCTTTTTGGGTTCAGCGTTTACGGTGATGTAAGAAACTGCCATTGTATTCCTTATTTCATATAAATTGTATGACACAGTAAATATATCTTAAATAGCACATGTAATTGCAATGCTTGATTAAAACATAATATAGAAGATTACATAAATTACAGAAGTTATTGAATTCAAACTTGATAGATGTTTTTAAAACTGTATTTGAACATTTTCATGAATATGTTAGTATTGGAATTTAGCGAGATTTTAACATCTTAAGAGTTTAAAAATTAGTAGAAATACAGTATTTAAATAGTGTTGATCATTAGTTCAAAACACTACATAGGCAGTTATTTCCTTATATTAACTAGTTTTTCTGTCTCGAGTCAGTATCAATAGTTGTAAAAATTTCCATAGCAGGCTAAGGAAATTATTTTTTCTTTAAACACATATTAAGATATTGACAGTTTTTTAATGCAATACTACATTATATATCTAGTATTTATAGCAATAAACTTGTTATGTTTCGATATTTTGTTAAAATGTAACATCTCGCCTAATTTTTATAGACGTTATAGAGGACGGAGTGCATCACACGTTATAACAACACAACAAAGGCTATCACTGAGAATTTCAGGCACAGGTAAGCACTTGTGTAATTTTATAAACCGAAGGCACGTTTTTTTTAAACAAATGTATGATTAAATTTAATATTTCAAATACTCAAAAATAATGGTCATTAATTTTCAACAAATTTAAGCAAATGTACAACTGAAACCGTCAATTTATGGACCAAACAGTCTTTCAGAAGTACTGTATTAAACAGTGTGACACTATCTAAACAACGACCCATTGTTCACATGGATATATGGTGTACCAATCTGCTAGAGTTTTTTTTATACGCAATTAAGAACATCATATATACAAAATTTAGATTGATACATTTAATACTAAATTATCGCAATTGATTTCACTGAACAGTATTCCTGCATGATATTACATTATATAAGACTCAAAGTAAAAGCTTTTTACAGTTTGCATAAAGTTCTCTTTTTATAGTTATTAAATACTAATATAATATATCAAGTTTATTTCACGGCGTCTCAACGCCGTGATATTGTGATGGGTAGTTTTCGGTAGCATGGGCAAAAGTCACGTGACAAAATGCCTTTCGATTTCTACAGCCGACATTTTATTGTTTTTACGCAATCATTGTACAGCCCATTTCCGTGAAAAAGTTACATAGAAACAGTTTTTTTTCAAAACCATATAGAATCTAAACAGTATTTTTATCAACACACGAAATATCAGCGTTTTATATTAATACATTTCCGGACATCCTTTCGACATGCTTGAGAAATTCGCCTTGAATGGATTATGTATGGTGGCTGATTAACGCCATCCAAATATTTTCGCGTCTTCGCCTCAAAATGCGAAAATGCGAAAACACGAAGGGACGACATATTTTGACTAATGTGTTCTCATGTCGGATCTATGTCTCTCTCGGAGTGAATCTTTTCACGTGTAAAATGTCTTTGAACATTACATTCCTAAGTTTCTATATTTGCAATTAAGAACTTAAATTGTCTTTTTTTTCAGCTCACCAGAGCCGAAGGCTCAGGGTGAGCTAATATGAAAAAGGCAAAGCCTCAAAGCGAACTCGATGTACTTTTTACGTGATTTCCAATAGTATGAAATAATCTCAAATGCAGTGACGAGTGGGTGTGACGTCACACGTACTCAGCCTGTTAAATATCAAACTCCTCACACTGATTACTTCCCTTGGCAGAATTGTAATCACTGCCTTCACAGACGTCACATGATGATGAAAGTCACATGACGTAACGTCGAAATTCAAATGTAAATATCGACCGTTACATAGAAAATCTAACGTCATTTTTCTCTGTCTGTTTTTTTTTTAACTTTTTGTACCTACGTCTGTTATATTTTCTTAAAACATTAGCAAAACCGTGTTTACTTTTTAAAATAAATGTAAAAATTGAAAAAAATCATATCGTCAAAAATCTTGACGAAAATGTTGTGATGGCAGAGATCTTATCCTGCTGTAAGGGGAGATCACTGCGTAGGAGATTGGTTAAATATGGCCCCGTCCCTGTCGTGAAACGAATAACGAGTTTTGAAAACGTTGATAAAACTTTGTTTATTTTATTTCTCTCTGTAATTTTTCAAGCGAAATAAAAATTATTTTAAGTGAAATAAATGTAAAACTTAAAACGTTTGCGACATTAAAATAGCGTACTTGATTTGTTTGTTTTGCACGTGCTGTTTGGCGCTACATTGTGACGTCACATAAACAATACTTTAAACGTCTGTACAGCGTTAACGACTCAACAAAAGATATTGGTGTTCGGATCCATTTTCTTAGTTAGACCATTTTCTTTCATTCTAGATAGTTTTCACAACAAAATTCGACAAAAAATTGTTTTTATTTTTCAGATTTCAAACAAAATGGCGCCTTCGATTTTCATTTTTTATACACAGCTTCCGTTATTCTGGTTGCCTGTCCAATTATGGTTCCCGTGCGCGGGTGACCAGTCTTCACATCCGTTTTCAGTCAGAATTCCTCAGTTTTTACCGTTATCTTTAAATTCGAAAGGTTGCGATGTGTCCAATTCGCTACTTTGGACGAAAGTTTTCAAAACCATCACTTAGCAGGTACTCGCGTTACCGTAAAGCTCGCTTTGCGAGCAGGCCCTTCGGGCCAGCTCGTCGAGCTCGCTATTAGTAACAAAGGGGGATACTCCGGCGTCCGTCGTCCGTCGTCATGCGTCAACAATCATCTTTTTCTCTGAAACTGCTGGGCAGATTTAACTAAAATTTGGTCTGTAGCATCCTTGTGATAGTCACACTTAAATTTGCTCATGTCATTTCAATTGGCCCCTTTTAGGGTTCAGCAGAGCTAAAGATAGAAAAACCTTTAAACATCTTCTACTACAGAACTAATGGATGGATGATCACCAAACTTTGTCTGTAGCATCCTTAGGTAGTCTTTATCGAGTTTGCTCATATTAATTTGATTGGCCCCTTGTAGGGGCTGCTATAGCTAAAAATAGAAATACCTTTAAACGTCTTCTTCTACAGAACTAATTGATGGATGATCACCAAACTTTGTCTGTAGCATCCTTATGTAGTCTTTTATCAAGTTTGCTCATATTAATTTGATTGGCCCCTTTTAGGGGTCACTAGGGCTTAAAATAGAAAACCTTTAGACATTTTCTTCTACAGAACTAATGGATGGATGATTACCAAACTTTGTCTGTAGCATTCTTGGGTAGTCTTTTATTAAGTTTGCTTATATTATTTTGATTGGCCCCTTTTAAGGGCCTCTATAGCTTAAAATAGAAATACTTTTAAATGCTTTTTCTACAGAACTAATTGATGGATGATCACCAAACTTTGTCTGTAGCTTTCTTAAGTAGTCTTTTATCAAGTTTGCTCATATTAATTTGATTGGCCCCTTGTAGGGGCCGCTAAAGCTAAAAATAGAAATACCTTTAAACATCTGCTTCTACAGAACTAATAGATGAATGATCACCAAACTTTGTCTGTAGCCTTCTTTGGTAGTCTTTTATCAAGTTTGCTCATCTTAATTTGATTGGCCCCTTTTAGGGGTCTCTAGGGTAAAAAATAGAAAAACCTTTAGACATCTTCATCTGCAGAGCTAATTGATAGATGGTCATTAAACTTTGTCAGTAGCATTCTTAGGTAGTCTTTAATCAAGTTTGCTCATATTAATTTGATTGGTCCTGTTAAAGCTAAAGCTTAAATGCACTAGCATTTCTTTAAATTAAAGTTTAAAGATATTCTAAGCTAACAAAGTATATTCATTCTTTTATCCAAGCAAGAATTTCATAAATTTCATTGGCTTGGGTCATGACCTGTTTATGATGTGTAAATATATTTCAGCTCTGGAATTCGGACTATTGCATCATTGTAAGGTCAGTTGTAGGTCATTAACCAGGAAAAAAAATAGGCCTAAAGAAACATAAAATTTGTTTCTCCTGTACTTTACTATCAAAGATGAGTTTATCTGCTCAATTCTCTTATTGAATTTTGTAAAAAATTGTAATTTTTTCATTTTTTTTGTTGAATTAACAAGGGACAAGGGGTTTAATTTCTGTTCCTGAATTGAATTTTGATATGAACTGGCTTACTTTTGATATATTTGATATCGCTTTACCTACTTTTTTTGTCTTTTATGTACAGACTTGAAATTTGGACTATGGGTGTAATTTGTGTAATTTTTGATGTTGAATTCAATTTTGATACCAGCTGACCTACTTTAGGTATTACTGACATCATTTGACCTACTGTCCTGTATTTTGACATTCAGATTTTAAATGTTGACCAGGTTTGTAAATTCTGATGCCGAAATGAATTTTGATATCAACTGACCTACTTTTGATATTTTTGATATAATTTGACTTTCATTCTTGTGTTCTTGACATACAGACTTGAAATTTGGACTAGGGGTGTAATTTCTGATGCTGAATTGAATTTTGATATTAACTGGCCTACTTTTCATATTTTTTTACAATGTTTGACCTATTGTCTTTTTTTGAGGTACAGTTATGTTACCATACAGAATGTATAAAAAAAATTTTGTCCCAAACTGTGAACTTCAAACATCTACACCTTACATGTTTTGCCTGTGACATTTTGTGTTTTCATTCAAAAAAAGTTTTAAAAAAAATTGTCCAATCAAAATCAATCCTGCTCTAGTGGTCAGTTGTTCTGCATTTATTCTACATAGTCTCATAGGAACACACTTGCAACATACATATTTTAACAAATCCTTTCCAAAATATTAGGGCAACATATTACAATTTTTATAGTGAATAATGAAATGATGGGTTAGATGAGTCATCTAGGGCCATCTTAGTGGTCCTATTGTTTATTATGAAGAAAAAAAGCTAAAACAATCAGTGTTGTGAAAGTATATTACTAAAGGGGCAAGTTAAAGTTGATCGAGCTGAACTGCCGAAAGAGCTGGACTTGCCTTTCAGCAAGTTCTTTTGAAAAATAATTTCCAACACTGAAAAGCAGTTGTTTCTGGTGAGCGACTCAGGGCCATCATGGCCCTCTTGTTTAATAATTTCATTTTTCTTGCGCAATTCTCTAAAATGAGACTTGGTTTTTCTATATGCGTTTCACAATTAACATTCACCATACCAGGTTGTAAAATAACTTAATTTGGTCCTTAAATCAGTTTTTACCACAACATCAAACTTCATTCAGAATTCATGTCACGTTATTGTGAGCAAAATTCTGAGTTTCCTTTAGATATGAGCAAGAAAATGTTTATTACCCCCCACCGAAAAGACGGATATAGAATTAGTCTCCATCCGTCCGTCCGTCTGTCCTTCCGTCCGTCACTCTACATTTTTGTCCGGAGCATATCTCAAAAAGTATCAATTTGAAACTTCATAGGTGGAGGTATCAACTTGAAACTTCATTTGTGGATAAATCATATTTAGGAAAAGTGCAGTGCACAAGAATGATAACTCTACGCTGCATATTTCTTCATTGTTGCCCTTTGTTATTCTTCAAACTCAATTTTGTCCACAGCATAACTCAAAAAGCCTTTGAGATATCAACATGAAACTTCATGTGGATAGATCTCACTCAGGAGGTGTGCAATGCAAGAGTGATAACTGTACCATTTCTAAATTTTGAGTTATTGCTCTTTGTTATTTTTCATACTTAATTTTTCACCTGAGTGGAGCATAAATTAACTAAAAAAAACAAACTTTGAGATGTCAATGTTATCTTCATAGGTAGATAGATCTTTTTGAGGATGAATGTTGTGCGAAAGAATGATAACTCTAACCTTTATAATTTTTGAGTTATTGACATTTGTTATTTTCTTACTTTTTGTCCGGAGAATATCTAAAAAAGTGGTAGAGGTAACAACTTGAAACTTCATAGGTGGATAGCTCTTTTTGATGAGAAGTGCAGCACACTAGAATGATAACTAACCGTGCATTATTTTTCAGTTATTGCCCTTTGTTATTTTTCATACTTAATTTTGTCCAGGGTATAACTACAAAAGCCTTTGAGATATCTACATGAACCTTCAAAGGTGGACAGATCTCACTCAGGAGATATGCAGTGCAAAAGAGTGATAACTCTACCCTTCATAATTTTTAGTTATTGCCCTTTGTTATTTTTCATACTAATTTTTTCACCTCAGTGGAGCATATCTCTGAAAAAGTCTTTGAAATGTCAACATGAAACTTCATAGGTGGATAGATCTTTTTGAGGAGGAATGTTGTGCGCAAGAATGATAACTCTATCCTTTATAATGTTTGAGTTATTGCCATTTGTTATTTTTCAAACTTTTTGTCCGGAGCTTATCTAAAAAAAATGTTAGAGGTAACAACTTGAAACTTCATAGGTGGATAGATCTTATTGGGGAGCATTGCAGCACACTAGAATGATAACATACCGTGCATTGTTTTTTCAGTTATTGCACTTTGTTATTTTTCATACTTTATTTTTGTCCAGGCCCCGTGTTCACAAAGATTCAAGGATCAGGATCAAGATCAGGATCAAATTTAAAAACCCTGATATTCTTCATTGTTTATCCTCATAGATAAATATCTGATTATAAATTTGATAAAACTGGACTTGAAATAGCAAGTATATGAAATTTTAGAATAAATTAATTGTTAATTTTGCAAGATATGGGCATTTTACAGTTGATCCAAATATTGATCCTGATCCTAAAATTGATCCTTATTTTGATCCAAATATTTTTGTATTTGTGTTGTTATTTCTTGATTTTATCCCAAAATAGTTTGTTTTCCTTGCAAATCAGCATATTTTTACATTTTGAATATTTACAATTTAATTCAACAAAACACAAATAATTTTAGTAACATTAAACAATGAAAATAAAATCAGGATCACTTGATCCTGATCCTGATCTTTTCTTAGTGAACACGGGGCCAGGGTATAACTACAAAAGCATTTGAGATTTCAACATGAAATTTCATAGGTGGATAGATCTTACTCAGGAGGTATTCAGTACAAAAGAGTGATAACTCTACCCTTCATAATTTTTGAGTTATTGCCCTTTGTTATTTTCCATACTAAATTTTTCAGCTGAGTGGAGCATATCTCTGAAAAAGTCTTTGAAATGTCAACATGAAACTTTATAGGTGGATAGATCTTATTTGGGAGGAATGTTGTGCGCAAGAATAATACCCTTTATATTTTGTTAGTTATTGCCATTTGTTATTTTTCGTACTTTTTGTCCGGAGCTTATCTCAATTATTATTAATTGAGCCTTGATTTTAAACTAAATGTGTCTGTATTTCTTACCATCCTTTACTGGTTTTAGATTATCATTATTGTTTAATAGGTTTACTTAATTAATGTTGTACATTATTGTCTTATATATATATGATTATGTTTTATCGGATTTATGTAAAGCACTCTTGAACATTTATTATTTATGAAAAGATTGCTATAGAAATGTGGTATATAATAATAATAATAATAATAATAATAATAATAATAATAATAATAATAATAATCATCTCAAAAAGGTGTTAGAGGTATCAACTTGAAACTTATTAGGTGGATAGATCTCATTGACACCTATCGTGCATTATTTTTCAGTTATTGCCCTTTGTTATTTTTCATACTTAATTTTGTCCAGAGCATAACTACAAAGGCCTTTGAGATATCAACATGAACCTTCATAGGTGGATAAATCTCACTCGAGAGGTATGCAGTACACAAGAATGATAATTATTCTGCTCTACTACATATAAACATGGCTCTTGTAACAAGTTACATGATTATGATATTTTAAAACCTTCTGAACAAGTTAACATGTCAATTCAAAACAATGCTATTTGGAGATACCTTATCAATATATTTAACTGGTTTTTTTTGTCGGTTTTTTTTTTGTGTTTTTTTTTTTTTTTTTCGCCGTGACAATCATATTGCTGCATTTCCCAGCAATTTTTTACTTGTTTTCAGTTTTCATTGCACGTATGTTGTATATATTTATGTTTCTTACAATAAGATAACTATTGGTAAACTGTACATACTAAGCAGGTGAAACTGACCAACTGCTGAATGGAAAGAAGAAACATGTAAATTTTCATAGAACTATTGATGCAACATTGTCCCGCATTGCGATGTATAAACTATTAGAGATGATGAAATCAGTCGGTCTATTATATTGGAATAACGCACCAAGGGGGACGGTGATCAGAATTGGGTCAAAATTTATTTTGACTGCATGGCACGTTATTGAACCAATTGTTTGTAAGTATAAAAGTAGCAAATCATAAGATAGGGTTTTGATCTAGATTAAAATAGAACTTAATCTTTGACTTAAATTCATTTGAGTTTAACAATTTTCAAATAAATTCAAACTTCAAAATGAAAATAATCAAGGAAACCCAGGCGCTAGATATATAAATCTAATCACATATGATGTAGGTGTTGATAATGAACGTATATTTGAAATTTAAAGTGAATTAATGGAAACAATATGAGTTATTGAATAAATAAGGACGATTCAAAGCTTAACGGGGAGACAATTCTGGAAATATGGACACTAGATTTATAAACCTTGTCAAATTATTATGATGTGGGAATTTGAAGTTAAGCCTTTAAGAAATTAAGAAGTTTGAGTAAAAATGATAATATCCAGAAAAATGCCATGCTAGAGTATTGGATCTTCTCGTACATGATTTGAGTGATAATAAGGACTATATACTAGAACGTGAAGTAGACACCTTACGAAATAAAGAAGCTATAGAAAGCAAACACTTTTTTTCATGAAAATTCTAAGTTTATGCCGGGTAATTCTGATTTCTTCTGTGCAAGAGTTGTGTGGCTTTTCAACATATGATGTTGGTGATAATCAGAAACATATTCTTGAAGTTCGAAGTAAATGCCATAAACAATAAAGAAGTTACAGCAAAAAGTATTTACAACAAAAATATTTATTCAGAAATCTGGACGGGTCGTTGAAACTGAGTGAATATGACAGCTCTCAATATACTCCAAAGTGACGTGTACAATTTCCAGACTGCCATCTACCCATATTTCAAGTTTCATAAAATGTCTTAAGTGCTTTCTGTGTTATCTCGGGATCCACTTTTTTGAAGGACATATTTGCCATTTTTAAGTTTATTCATTGCCATAACAACAAACGTTTTCGGTATAGGAAGACAAAATACGTACATACTCTCCAGAGTACCATCTACCTATCTGTAAGTGTCATAAAAGTATTTTCAGTTCTTTTTGAGTTACCACCTGATCAAATTTGTAGATAAAGAAAAAGGATGGACAGATGGAGGGCAAATCTAAAATACCATCTGGTTGAATCGGTAAGGGACAATTAAAAGTTTTTTTTTATCTTTTAGACAAATCCTCCGAAAAACAGCCATCACTCTGCAAAAGCCAATCATGGGATGTCCGGCTGTTGTATTGAGGTTGCAAAGTTTTTTTTAACGGATAATAAAGTAACGATTAATGACTTATAATGACTGAGTATACACAACCTTACTGTTAATGATTATTTTGTACATTTCAGCAAGCCCCGGGCGGATCGATAACAATGGTAGACCTAAAAATAGCGTGATTTTACAAAATTTAAAAAAGAAAGACGTTGTTAACGTTGGCTTTAATAAAGATGCTAAAAACAAAGAGCATGACTGTCGATCTGGGTTGTTACCAAAAATATGCTTTCTTGACAGAGCTGAGGATGCTTGTATTCTGGAATTAGATTGTGATAGCGCCCTCCTTCCTGCACCATTCAATGTTTTTATGGACTTTCGAAAAATGTGGGATAGGAAACCCCAAAGCAAATTCGTACATGTCATGGGACAGCATCCAACCGAAAGGATTATTGTAAGAAAATATATTTTAAATGTTTCAGATATCAATATCAAAAGAAAGACGAAAACTTATTCAAGTATTTATCTTTTTTGGTACTCTTTAGGAAAATTATTAATTCCCATTTGTATCTGTACAACAAAACACTGAGATATAATCGTATAACATAATATTATTTCTAATTGTTATATCCATAATCTTTTTAAACTAAACTTTCGAAATTTGATTGTAATTAAACATTACCTGTCTTAACAACATCTAGCAGTTCTTTAGATTCTAAAAAGAACAAGAAGTCTTGATTAAGTCATGTAATTTACAGTATAAATGCAGCTGTCAGTATTTCCTTTTTAGGTTCTAGATCCCGGCTGCAAAGTAATATCAAAAGGAGATGAAAAGGTTAAAAAAATTGACAAATGGCTCAAGAAAAATAAAAGTAAGGTTGTCAGAAACGGACACGATAAACATGATGTTGAAGAATGTTACGAGTATTATTATGAAAGTGAGGACTATTTGCTGCTTGACACATATTTAGAATTCGGAGCGAGTGGAGGCGCTGTAGTCTCATTTACACCTGACGGAGACATTGCCTTAGTTGGGGTTCTGCTACAAGGTATTCCATCTTGGTACTGGAATGAAGAATGTGTCAAACATGGCTATTCGAGTAAGGTTCGAATTGAAGTTGCATGCCCAATATCAAACATTCTAAAGTCTAAGGAATGGAGAGGTAATTTTACTAAAGAAACGTTGTTTTGGTTCTGAAACTTAAGAAGAGTACTGTTAACTTAAAATTAATTGACCCTAACCATTGTAGGTTCGAATATCGCAAGGGACTTTAATTTCTTTCATAAATATGTTGAAACTATCAAGCTAACTTACGGAAAGCCGGGGATTTACTCAGGTGCCCAGTAGTGCAAGAGATAATACATGGAGGGAGAAAGCTAGAATGAACTTTTCTGTAATAAGTAAGGAAATAAAAAAATCAGTTTGTGAAACAAATGAATTATTAATATAAAAAATAACTAAAATTTGAGCAAATGACTTTGGACTTTAAGTAATCTTTGAAAATTGTGCTTTAATACACATGTACATACATTCTTGGCAAAACATAATGAAATATTACAGTTACGTTTACTGTTTCTACTATAAATATATATACTAGCTTAAAAAACATGAGCCTATGAATTAAAAAACCTAAAACAATATGTTTGAAATTGTTTATATCGACGCCGCATTCATTCTTTATTTACCAGCTGGAAATCGTAGGTTTGGAAACAAGAAAACCATTACACTAGTTTGTTTTAGTTTTACTCATAATTATATACAAACTAACATGGTGTTTACCAAACATATTTGCCCCTCAAGGCCAGTCTTAAGCAAATGTTTTGTTTCAATAGTACAAAGCAAAACAGCAACTTTGTTTTAGTTATATAATGAAAAGTTGTAATGATAAAATAATAACTATGATAGGTAAAAGATAATAATCATTGCTAATGAAAACACTGTTAATATTACTGTATAGTATAGTATCGTTCTTTTTACCTAAATATATTTTATTCCCCCCTTATAAAACAAAACAAAAAAGTTATTTCTATTGTTCAATATTAAGACAATAAAGAACATTTTTAAAGTAATAGAAAGTATTCCAAATGACCATTATATTAGAGAAAAATCAGACCTCACCGCACAACGCCTCGGTCAGCCAATCTCTTATATAATGGACAGTTTTAAGAGTTTCTTCTTTAAATATGCAGTACTTATTCCCCGTTGGCTTTGTCTTAATGATTTAAAATACTGATGGATCGCACTATCAAATTTAGATTCAGAAAAAAAAAAGAATAATTGGAGAAGATGACATTTCCATAGAAATTGAAGAGGATATGGAAACAGATGATGGAGACAAAAATGCAGTCGATAAAATGCTCGCATCTTTATCTCTGGATGATTGAGCTCCAAAAAATATGAGGACTTGTTTGCTTGATTTAAGAAATGTGTTGCAATGTTTTATTTACAATCAACTCATTAGTAAATAATTTTTTTGCCTTTAATCATTATCGTACAAATTAATGAACTAGTTTACATACATCTTCCATTAATTCCACTGCAGTTTACATTTATCATATTGTGGTCGGTATACATTTATATTGCATTTATATATTAGAGCAGATAGATTTATTTTTTTGTATATATTATTGTAAACATTTCGTCATTCAGATAAATTTAATCCTAAAGCTGTGAATCACAGGATCTTTTAGTAATTAAAATTCACTTTCACAACTATATATACAAACAACATTATATCAACACCCGATATATACGAATGAATCGTGCCTTGGTCTTAAAGCGTTTTTTTCTACCATGTATATTGCTGTTTGGTCTTATAGTTATAGTGTTGTTTTATCAATTAATGAAATTTGTTAACATATTTTCTCTTTATTTGAAAATACATTTGTGCTTGTTGACTTGTGTATTGTTATACATTTTACTTAAATATTACAACCTAACATGGAATTATTTTAATACATTCTAAGGAAATCTATGAGTGCTAAAATTACGACAAAACATCTCTTATGTTTTATATAGAAATAATCATTGATTCCATTATACTTTTGTTTAATATTGTTTTAATTCATTCTAAGGAAACCTATGAGGTGACAAAACATCTCTCAAGTTTCATATAGAAATAGTCATTGATTTCGTAACACATTTTTGATTTTATGTATGTATTTCTCATCACTGTCTGTGTGCATTTTTCAAGGATATTAAATATAACAATCTTTTTGTACTTACGGATAGAAGAAGCAAAAATTGAATCTGTAAATACCGTTGATGGTCCGAATACCGCAAGTATTTTGATTCAGTCATGTGAGGAAGCTATCTAGCAAGCATCTTGAGGATCGGTGGTTTTACTCAGGCGACGGCATTTTAGCCTGGAATAATATATAAAGTATACCAGAAGTCTTCCTCTGCCAGTTAGGCAGGGAACTCGTCATATGATCTTTTAAGTGTCCGTTTACTTGAAATACAACAAAAAATTTATTTTAATGTTATTTTCCATTGGTGTTAGAGCATAACATAAGTCATTGCATTGTAAATTTAAGACACATTTCTTAATAAAAAAGTCATTGCATTTTGTTAGCTTGTATATTCTGAAAGAAAAAATGTTTCAATAAATAGAAATGTTGCCGTGTGAAGCCTATATAAATTCATCCTGTACATTCAAAAGAGATGTTTCATTTCAAATCATGAAGTATCGTTCAGCACGGCGTTGTTGTTTTTTAAGTTTCATCTATCATGGTTTTCTGCTAGCTGTGAGTGCTAGACTGCTGAAAAAATGCCCTTTCATGTATGATATGTCGCCTGCTATTCAAATGTGTCTTCTGACGTATCATCTGTAATATGCAGGCTTTATTCTGATACAATGTACTTCTTTATTTTGTTTTAAGGCTATACCATGTGAACATTTTAAAACATATACTCGTATATATATATGTATATATAAATGACTGTATAATTATAATCCTCATTGTGTAAAAAAGAAATTATATTATTATTTTAAATTTCCTTTTCCAAAAGCGTAATACAATCGGGTCGTTGTAACTTTTGTTATTGGTATACATTATGATATTAAATTTGTTTTAGGGTGGTGCATCAAGGTACTGTCCTAAGATGATAATTTGGTCTTAGCGGTACATGGGAAAGTCGAAAAACGGGATTATCTGGATTATTATCCGATATCGTAAAAGTAAACACTTACATATACTATATAGCATTATTCTTACAGAATAGTTTTTGTATTACCGTTATGGCTTTGTCGGTAGGTCGGAGTAATTGTAACTATTAGTGTTTTGTACTCATAGGTTCGAATCCCACTTAGTGTCATTTTATAACCACAGTTTTTTCTTCTTACTCTGTTTTTTCATCATTATTCTTCATTTATTTTTCGTTTTCGTTTTTGTTTTCTTCTAATAATATATATTTTATTATAATAGTATATATATATTTTTTTATTTCCATTCTATTTTCTTTTTGTATTTTTTTGATCGCAGTGTAATAAAATATTCGATATCATATTCATGTATGTATATGAAAAAAACGGTCAAATTTGTTTTCTGAACAATTGACTGTTCTGAAGTTTACAAAAAAAATGTACCATGTTACCAGTAGTCGAACTTCTGCCTGTACGGTTAAAACACACTGCTGTCACGGTTGCTATACCTACTGCGCTAACAAGTCATATGATAATATGTAGTTTTAATTTCAATTTTATAGGTTGTGGCATTGATCTGCCTAACCTATTTTTCGCATTGTTATTGGTCTTTGTTATGTAAACAAAGGCTCAAATTATCATCCTAGGACAGTACGAGTATGTAACGGATAAATATATTGTTTGAGTTTCGAATGAAAATCACAACAAAGTAAAAAAAAATGAAACAGAAACTCATTTTCAATTACATTCTTAGAACTTTTCGTGCATTATTTGTTTTTATGTTGACTGAATTATAAGATAATGTGACTTTAATCTAAACATAATTGAAATGATAATTTTAAATTAGAGGTTAAAGATGAATGCCACTTTCGTATCTTTTAACAATACTTACAAATTGTGCGACAGAGATTTTTCTGATGTTACTGAGGAATTCCCCAAAACACATCCAAAACAATGACTTGTAATATGAAAATCTGGAAACAAAGTGATCCCTCGGAAGCATTAATCACAACAAAATTACATAAGAATTACAGACTCGGTTTGATTGAGTAACCGCCGTATGAACACATCTGCGGATGTTTCTAAATTCAAAATTCCACCAGTTTCGTGTTTAAATGTTGAATTTTGCTTAAGCCGGTGCTAGGGGGCGTGGACGGTAACTTGCACTTTCCAGTACCGTCCATGAACATGCTCAATCAAACCGAGCCTGCAACATTTTACAATTTCGCCGTGTTGGGCTTTCTTTAGGGATTCTGTTTTTCTCTATTTCATTGTCACATCCGTGTTATTTGTGCCGTGTGGCGGCTGTAAAAAGTGTCCCCGTACATTTAATCAATGGTGTTATATTTTCGATACTTTTCGATCGTTCAGCTCGACATTTTTGTTGTGTATACATATTATATGGTATTTTTAGTTTCTTGTATTTGGCCTCATTGAGCTTCCAGTATCCCTACTTGAATACCGTATAATCACCCTTAAGATATGTTGCCTGCTTTTTAAATTTGTCTTTTGACGTCTACTGTTAAGTGTTGTATTAATGCGGTGGCATAGCATTTTCCTCAAATGCAATCTTGTTTAGAAACTATTAAAGCTATTGACTTCAACTTTGGATACCATATTTAAAGGGTAGATACTAGATAAAAAAATAAAGCTTTGCCCATATCAGAAACTAACGCAGAAATGTTCACTATTAAAAATGACACTATTGCATACAAGCAGATAATCCTAACATCCATTTTAGCAAAGTTATGTCTCTTTCGACCTAACGTGATTCTTCTTAGGTATTTTCTAAAATTGTCAAAATTAATAATTTTAATTTTGGAATAATTTATCAATTTTTAAATTAGAATGCATTTATTTATTTATGCATTCTCTTTATTTTGAATTTCTTGGCAATTATATTGTTCAGGTTAACTAAAATATATCAAAGCTCAATCATTTCAATCTTGAAATACTTGTTCACTTTCAAAATCGAACTGTATTCCTAATGGGCAGATAATTATGGAAGCCATTTTCGCCGAAATTACCTGGTATTTTCCTATTTGCCTAGTGCTCAAATATCGTCAAAGATGTTCAATAGAATTTGAAATGTTTGTTGAATATCAAGGGAAGGTACGTCTGCTACGCTTTTGTTAGAACTATGCCCTTTTGAAAGGTTGCTTTTATTTACTTTCCAGCACCGAGGAAAGTGGACAATGCTACCCGCGGACATTTTTGCACGTTTCAAATTCCCTCGGAAAAAATTTTCCTTTCAAGGAATAATATCGCCAACCGTTGGATTTACAGACGACTGAATACGACTTTTTCAACACGTTGGCTTTCCTTCCCGAAAGCTAAGTAAGAAACCGTTCTTCAATATCAGCAAAAAACTATTTAGAAGTGTTTTTTTTCAAATCCGAAAAGAAGCGAGACAAGCATGTTGTTGTGCTTAGACATCTGAATGGTCATAACTGAGAAATAACATGTCACCTTACAAACTCGCTTACATGTGTTCTTTCGGGTTGAAATTGACGTGTTTTTTGTTTTAGTTGTCATAATCGTTTTTTATATGTTTTGTTTAACTAATAGATTTAGATATTGATTCATTTTAACAATCTTCCAACACCGGTAACTTGGAATTTTGCATTTATTACGGAAATACTTCTATTCCGTCGTGACATTTTATAACAACGACATTTGAAATCTTTTCATAGCGTTACTTTTAAATATTATATAATGAAAACATAATTTTATTTTAATGACAGTTCTGTTTCTTGTAATACTACTGTAGTCTACATGCCCTAACATTTGAAACAAAAATAATGAAAATTGCACAAAAATAATGAAGTTATGAATATCAAAGTTTGACAACTGTATATCTTAAAGAGATAATGAGCGGAAAGATGAATACCTTGTTATTATAATATTACGGATTGCTAGAAAGCTGGGGTTTTTAATTGATCTGTGATGTATCGTATCTGTGATAATTATTTTGTTTTAAATGAGGGTTGTCCCAATATTCTGTGACAAGATTGATTAAAAACTAAATAAAACAGGTACGAATTTGATATTTTAATATGTTATAAACCCATATAATTTAAACATTTTCACAAATTTTCATAGATAAATATCAACAAACAACAAAAATATGCCATAAAAACCATGGCAAATAACTGAATCGCGGCGCACGTCCAACGTCAAAGACGGCGTTAAATCTATATATGGCGCCTTTCTCAAATACTCTCAATGGCTTTCAACGCAATAATGGTACCCATAAGTCGTCAATTTCTGACTTAAATTATGTGGTTGTTAATGTCTGTTGAATGTTTGGGTGGCAAACATCAATGTTTGCTATACGCGAACTTCCGGTCTCGTTACTCCTGTTTTTATAGGCGACGAAGATCGGTCTTCCTATCCGTGTTTTCCTTATTTTCGCTTTTTGTAGCGCAAAACTCTGGTTCCGTTCATGCCTTTTGTACACAAATGCTCAGAATATGTTGCTAAACTGTTATTTTTGGTATATTTGTTGAAAATCGTTACATGTGTCATCTCAAAATAGTCATGAAACCCGAGTGACATGTTCACTGCGCCGCAAATTCTTCGAACGTCGCCATTTTAACTTTCCTATTTTATATGAGATATTTTCATTTATATCTTTTTCGTTTTTTAAGTTATTTAACTAAAATTTTCAGAGATGATTTAAACATAGCAGCAGAGGAAGTCAACGTGACATTGTACAAACACATTATCAGATATTTGAAATATACGTAATTAATTTCAGCCTATTCATAACAAAATGTAAATTATTTGACGTGCGCCGGCAACTCAAACCAATGTCGTTAAAACTGAAAATTTCTAAGTAACAAGCGTATTTTTTTTGTAAATGATTTGTTGTAATGTTAAATAATAAACTTAATGGTTATATGTGTGAATTATTTTCTATTGGCGTTAAAAATGAACCGGCTATAAAATTTGTCACGGACTTTTGGGACAACCCTCGTAAATATTTAAGGCTTGTAGACAGGACGCAATTGGGGATTTCTCGCCAAAATCTGGAGAACCAGAAATAAACCCTCGATAATTCACAATTATCTATATTATATACTATATTATCTAAACAAAACACTGAAAAATACTGGATCTTTCCTCTAAAATCTGTCCGATACTTTAGAATGACAGAAAATAGTCTATAAATATGTCATTAACCAATTTAACAAATCATTACAAACTTGTTCAGTACTAGCAACCTTCATTGATCTATTGAGAAGTTTGGTTTGTCCCGTTTTAAGACCGCTATTAATAGCTATTTACAAATAGAAAATTATTTTTTCTTATTCCCCAATGGAACCAAGAGTCTCACAGAGCAAAGTCAGTTTATAACTTCCGTGTACCTTTTCCCATTTTGCAATTCACGCAGCTGAGTAAGTTATTTTCAGGGTAGTGCAACAGTAGTTTCGTAGTTCAAGAACATGTATGAAGAAATATTCTATTCACTTACAAGCGGATGATGCATGCACAAATCCATAGCTGTGCAATTAAAAACCTTTATAAAGTAGCAGCTGCATATTATTTACTCCTGATCATTTCAATCTGTTTACATACCCTTTTTTATGCATGTTAAAAAGAAGAGGCATTCTATGTTGCAACACTTCAGAGAATTTATCATAAGGATATAAAAAAACACATAATTTTACCATTTATAAATTTTATAAATAAATATTTCATTACAGCTTTAACCCTTTTAATTTATAAGACCTATGTAGATTCACCGTTACATGGTTCATCGGTTGTTAAGATCTTATCCGGAAAAAAATACAATAAGTATTCATAATGGAGTAGCAGGGGATCGAACTGCAACCTCTGGATGTCTTGATTTGCGCATTGCCACTGTACCATTAAGCAGCTCCTATGGCTTTATTCTGTTGGCTAACTAACTTTATATTTGCATCGTCATATCTCCATAATTGCAAATGGACAGTTTCTAAAAAAGGGAAGCTAGTTGGTTCCACTTAAGAAATACACGGAACTTTATTTTGAGCAGTTTCATATAATAGTTCAACTTTCTGCGAATACATTCAGCGCTACTTTTCACATGCTGATAAGGCGACAAATCTTGATATACAAACTTTGCATATGGTATTCTTAGGAATGGCTGCTTAAATAAACTATACAGATTGACGTAGCTTTCATGTTGACCATCAACGTCAACCGTTTGTATAAATCACTTCATGATAAATGGTATACATTTATATCTATTGAAAGGTTTTAGTATCAATGATAAAACTATGTTGTTTACATACTATTCTGGCAGATTCTTAAATCTGTTTTAACACAACACATCTCTGTTATTTTACAGTATGAAAATTGTTTTTAACAAAATAAACGTTCCGGAACAAAATATTATGGTGTCACTTTCAAGTATTACCGTTAAGCAGCAGTTTCGTGTATACGCCATTCTGGGAGCCGATCCAGTGCCATTCACTCTTTAAAAAATCATACATGTTTATTTCATATACACTGTTAATGATAGATTGCAGTTATTAATACATAACATCTTTTATTTCTCTATTTACTTAACTACACAGCTGATAAAATTATGATTATAATAATACTAATACTAGTAAGTCATCAAATATGGTAAATTTTCAGCGACATAAGATATTTTATATCATATAATTATAACACACGTGAAGAACCCACACAAGATGTTCATACAAAGATGGTAAATATTTTGAACAGTTGATATACATATATAAGATATTCAATGTGCTTCATTTTGCACTCCGTAATTTATCACTTCGTAACCTTGTTACCATAACTTAGCTTTGTTTCAAAAATAATCAAAATTAGAAATTATTGCTTTATTAAAAATAACAAAGCTTCCCGGTTGGCCTCTAGTTGGAAATGTTATAAATGTTTTCAATTTTAAATGACTTCGTTATCTATCATTTAGATGCATCTGTTAACTTTGCTATCAATTCTTTATGTTGTGGGAACTGTTCAAGAAGGTCTGCTCTCTTCCCTTCGATCCAATCTTCAAATTCAAAACCTACAACAAGAAATAGTAGAGACAACTGTACAGCATAGTGTATAAAAGTTATATAAAACATTACACTTAGTTTACAGATAACGATATATTATAATCATTAAAGTATCATTATACCCATTTTTGCATAGTGAAGTTGAACTTAATTGACGATATAATTCAACAGATTGATAGCTATATTATATATATCGGACCAACAGCTCATACTGGTGATACTGTAAAATATTAAGGATATAATATAAATCTACCTAAAATATAAAAGACTTTCCAACTTCTTTTTAAAAATTGAACGCTTTATGTAAATGCCCATGGCTATTAACAGAAACTTCTCTTTCATGCAAAATAAATTATAAAATTGAATGAAATAATAGCAAAATATAAACTTATTTTGACTGTCACTTTTCAATCAATATATACCAATAAATGGACATAATGTCACTTTTATAAACAGATGGTGAAAAATATTTCTTAAACGTTTAGATATTTACTCGGTTCCAGTAAATTATCCAAAAACAACTCATTGGACACGGTTTGCAAGACATAACAAAAATCATATTTTCAATAAAATGATATTTTTGCACTTACATTATTTGATGTTATAAAGAATAACAGTACCTGGCATAACTACAGCGCTATACAAACTAAACTTTTCATCTGGAAGAAGCTCAGCGGAATACCACGTGTCATGTGGTACAACAATTTGGGCCACACATTCCTCGTACTTTAATACATCTCCAAGCACGTGACACGAGTGTGATCCGTCATCTTTAATTATGTGAATCTGTAACAGAGAAATCCTCGAGCGTTTACTTTTAAACACAATAAATTTTGATTTATACAGATATATTATAGTCCGAATTTGAAGGAATCTTAAAGCTTATAGACTCACTTTTAATATGTTCATGGAAGAACAATGAGTATAAAGTTTCTTGCTTAAGGAAACAACGACTTGCCTCTGATGTCGGATAGCTGATTGCACAGGCTAATTAGTCATACATGCTATATTCAAAAAGAATGACAAGTCAACATGTATATACATATATTAGGGTTTTTATTTCATAATGTAAACTCTGGAACATGACATGATTTATGTGTATTATAGTGCAAGATACATACAAACTGAGTTTATGTCAAAATGATAGATAACGTATTTGTAAGTCGGCTAGATTTCATAACATTTTATGTGTAAACTGTCACTATATATTTTGGGCTAGATATTCAGTCCAGGGAGTTCGACTTTGGTATTCCACTCGTTCACATGTGTGTTTGTATTTGTATATTAAAAGTATGTAATATTTGTGAGTTCTTCCTCCGTTATGCGACACTGACGGGGTTTGCGACTTTAGATAATTAGATTACTAGTCTGACGCGGAAACCACTCGCCCATGCCGCTACCAAAAAGGGCCGTATTACATGCCAAATTATATTCATTACGAAATAATTTTTATCATACACTTAAATTTATGACATTTCGATGAAATAAAATGTGTATTTTCATTTTCCGTATTTTCACTGTAAAAAATTATTTTCACTGCAGCGAAATATATTTTCCGCATTTTCACTGGTGTCTTGCCGGACTACTCTCTTCCACTTGATGAAAATTCTGTATAATAGAAAAAACTTGAATATCCTCTACATATTGAAGCAAACAAAAGAAATTACCGTGTATATAGTATATATAAACGTCACGATCATCAAGTGAACAGCGACATAAGAAACGTGCAGTGTTATAAATACATTGCAATTTCATAATAACGACTTACCTTCACCCTTCCACCAGCATGCCAGTAAAATCCCTCGTCGGACAGGTGTTTATGCCAATTAACACAATTTGGGGCTGCTAGTAGAAAATATATGCTGGTTCCCGGAGCTCTTGCCCCGCCATGTCTACAAAAAAGTATATATTACCCGACATTTGCTTTAACCCAGCATCTATCCAAATTTACGCAAGTGTTTTACATTCAAGTTGTCTTTTATGTCCAATTAATATTCTTGATTAATACTATGATTGGTATTTATATGAAGCTTCAAATAATATAGTTTTTTTTTCTGTATATTCTTCATTACCTTAATCATAGTATACATATATTGTTCTTTAAAGGCTATAAATATTATGATGACCATTATCGTGACGTCAGCTACTGATGACATCATTATCAACAACATCATCATCACCATCATCATCATCAACAACGACAACAATAATAACAATTAAACCATCATCATTATCATTATCAACAACAATAATAACAACAAAATCATAATCATCAAAATCATCATCAGATTCATCACCATCATCATCATAATTAGCAGCAGCAGAAGCAATGAGAACAGCAGCATGTTTAGTCTTTGTCATTATTATCATTGTTATATTTACCTTGTTTCTGTGGTGAATGTGACCTGTCTATCTCCCTTCCACATTTCCCGGAATGCACCGTATCCACTCGGGTGTGGTACGAGTTTTAACTGTTTCTTTAACCGCTCTATTTCACTGTCTTCTGTCATGATTGTAATTAAAACAAACCTGTGGTACAAACATATTTCTCCGTGTATGTTTATGCTAGTACATGTATTTCTTATAAGGTATCTGTATTTAAAATCAGTATCCATGGCCGCATGGTATTCACACCAGAAGTCATACAGTATGTACGTATGAATAATGCAGTATATTTCCCATTTCATTTTAGTACTAGCAAGGTACGTATATATAAAGTTATAAACGTTTCTGTTACTTAAGATACTGTGTACTAAAATTTGTAAATATTTTGTGGAGTAAAATCCTGGGTAAAGATATATTATGTTATATGTTCACGTTCACTTTAATTTATTTGACGACTATACATGATTATATAATATTACAGTATAAATGACTTGCAAAGAACTCAATTTAAACTTCATCGGTGTTCTTGTTTTATTTAATAAGCAATTCACTCGGCTTTTATTCATATGTAGATTTATATATTTTCAGTACGTAGATCTCTCACTGTTAATCATGAAAATAAACAAACGTTACATATTTTCAAGCTTAAATGATGATCCTTTAAACATAAATATAAGCCTTACCTGTAGAGCCAATTTAATAACCTTTTACCTATCGCTACATATGTTAAGTATCTTAGTGTATTAAACACGTGATGGTTTACACATATGTTATCCGTTGTTTACACCTTAATATTATGTTAACAGTCAAGTTAATACTATGGATTTTAATCTACATACAGAATACATGTCAAGCTTTTACATCTCTTGAGTATAATCTTCAAAACCCTTTTAATGTATCATGGTTGAGTTTATGAGTCGCTCCACTTCTTGACCCGCACCTGTATACATCATGGCTTAAATATCTTTTTTTTTGTGCAAACGTACAACAAATAATCATTGCATATTTTTACGACCTGGAACTTGAATTTCCGCTATTTCGACAACGATTAAAAACTCTTTCAAATACTTTAATAAATAAAACCCTTCACTGTTTTGTGCTACATATTGTTGTAATCGGAACTTTTCGCCGATTATTAGTCGCCGGTAGAAACCGGCGACTATATTTGTAACAGGCATTAAAATCTGACAATAAAAGCATAACAATTACTGAACAATTAAAGACTACAATTGTTTTCAGTAATCTCAAAAAATCAAACATACAATAATGTTGCTCAATGAAATGAAATATTCAAATATTGACATCGTAAAAAGCAACATTACAATTTTTATAAAATGAATTAATGACGTATCCCTATGGATCAGTCATTGAATTTAGGGATGTTTTTCCTTTTTTCAAAGTGTCAAGCGTTGCTATTTTATGATAAATAAATCACGCATGATATTTTAAATTATCTGGTTGTTTGTTTGTTATGAGACTATTCTATCTTTTTTTATCTTATTTATTATAAACAGCTTCTCCCAGAATCACGTGACTACACGTTATATGTTACGGTTATAAAATCTATTAATAGTAACAAATGGCTGATAAGACTGACATACAGGTAACTTGTGAATTGTTGGCAGCTGGTTAAAGTGCAAATCAAAGTAATTTTGTATATGACAGTAGGGGCCGGAATCGTATTGGATACACAGAGAAAACTAATAAACTATCTTTGTATTGATAGTCTATCGCACTGAAAGGCAATTAAACGTTAACTATATCGTATGTAACAACTTCGTCATACTTACCACAAGGCCAACGAGCAGTATTAATTGATATAATTATACATGTAATTATACTTACAATAAAATCGTTAACATTAATCATAATAAGTTATGAAAGCTAACGAAACAGCTCCCGGAAGTCTCGGGTAAATATTGCCAAACAATACTTGCTTATCTAATAATGATAACAGTTTCTTGACAAAATTGCTAAGCAAGTTTGCTTCAAATATGATGTTTTATTATAACATAACATAAATTTATTGCATTACACTCTTTTACAAAGTTTATAGCAAGAAAGATATAATTGTGGCAAGTAGCCTTTTGATACCATCTTTCGAACGGTACCATCTCTCGACCAAAGTGATAAATTTTATATTTGACAAATCAAATTTATGTTGTGCAGCAAGAAATAGTTTTAAAAAGTGACAAGCACTTACATTTGCTTTGTTTTGGCAAAGTTCCATATTTACAGCTTCATTTTGACCATTCTAATAGCAGACGAAAGTTCAATTTTAAGATAATGGCAGCCTACTTTCATTTTTGTAATTGTGTATTTTTGTAAAGTTACCACTTTACTAATGTAGATTTGTGGAATAAGTCAGAACAATAAGAATACTTTATGAACCCATCTTTCAAGAAAATATGAGCGTAATTTTACTGTATTTTTTATTTGTTTTATGAACGTTGACCTAGTTTCTTGATTTATTGTTTTGTTCAATCAAATATTTAATCGAACAAGATAAATCAAGTTGAACACCACTAAATATATTTCTTCTACTGTTCTCAATATGCAATTGATACCATTATCAATGTTGAAAAGGAATAATCAAATTTCGGTTGATATAAGTAAAGCTGCTTGTGATTTGTGAAGCTGTTGTATTAAAAAAGTTAGATGAATTCTCCAGGAATGTGACAAGACATGAAAATAAATGAAAATGTGTTTGTTTTGTTCTATGTTACAGTAGACAATTTAATTAATGCTTATAGTTTCAATATAAATTGTCTCCTATTTCTACAAGTTATTTGTACACTATAAATAACTTGGTTCGATAATTGGTAGCAAGGGGTCAGCTTTGTTCTACTAATCAAGCACCCCAATGAGTTCACGGCAGCCATTTTTAAAGGTCATGTTGACAAATTTTAAGTAGGTCAAAACGGACACATTACATGCCTCTACAATCAAGAACTTTACTAACTTTAAAGACACTTAACATCCTAAAAATAATTACAGTTAAGTGAAATTATTGTTCGAGAGATGGTACAACGAGGCTACATGAAAACGTGTTTATGAATAACATTACTCAACTTATTGTTCCTATTTTCTTTATACTCGAACCATTAAACTGATATTTTCTTTTATTTATGATAATACAATCATATTTCTATCCGGCGACTTGATGCTTTAGCATCAAAATCTCTACTTGTTCATTCTAATCTCGGAATTAATACGGACCGAAAGTAGTTCTTCAACGTGGTTTTAGATGTAAACAAAAACGAACGATGTAATATATTTGACATGCAATGGAAAAAAGTCTATTTCGGTAAATTTTGATTAAAAAATATGTCTGACAATCATAATCAATTTTAAAAACGCCAACTGATGAATAAAAGTTAATGTCATCAGGTTTACTTCCACAATCATAATAATAAGTCAGAGGTACTTGAAACAAACTATTTTTATCCTCTATTTGTATCATAGTTTGGGGACCTTTCTGTTGAAAATGTGTCAGAGTTAAATCGTTTTCATATACATGCACAGTGCGTTAACTGGAGTGCAAGTATAAGTTACCCGCACTCCAGAGCATGCCCATTAATTGATTGGCCCATTTTTGCTGGGGTTTACATAGTGTGACGGCAGACAAAGGGAAAGCGATAGAAATATCATATTCTGATGCTCGTTCATTGGTTACTTTTTCCTGGGGTTTCATATTATGACAACAGGGAACATGTTTTTATGTTTGACTATGATACAAAAGAGAAAGAGCATCAAAACACTCGGCAATCTGATTAATACTCGGGGCTACGCCCCCTCGTACAAATCAGATAGCCTCGTGTTTCGATGCTCTTTCTATTACATAGGCTATATACTATACTTATTATATAGATATACATGTATATTGAACATAAAGTAGTTCCAAGTACCTGTGTAATAAGTATTATTTAAAAAAAATATTTGCTCTTTCATCGTTATGATTGTAAAAGGTATGATGTTCATATAGTGGCAATACCATTAGCATTAGCAAGACACGCAGGTTTAGCCCCATACATAAATTTATATTTTAAGTTCTTTCAAGTATCTTCTTACACTGTTTTATTCTATTTCAGAGTGGCTGAAATCAATTAGAAAATATATGTACTCTCAGTGCTGTGTTATGCCGCATATAGCTCCAAACGAATATAGCTCTCCTGAAATACCTTAATTACTTCAGTGGCAACGAATATAGCTCCGAACAAAGAGAGCGGTATACGTCAAAATGCACAATATTTATGGAAAATGCTTCCCATGTAGATGTGTTTTTTTTTTGTTTTTCATAACATGTTATTTTTATTAAAATTGTACATTATCATGATAGATAAAATCATAATAATCAGCACATCGTCTTCACCATCATCATCATCATCATCATCATTATTATCACAATCATCATCGTCTTCACCATCATCATCAACAACAACATCATCATCATCATTAAGTTGAAATCGTGAATTCGTGAATTTGAAATCATGAATTTTTGAATTTGAAATCGTGAATTCATGAAGTTAAAATCGTGAATTGGTGAAGTTGGAATTGTGAATTATAAAGTTGAAATAGCAAATTGGTGAAGTTGGAATCGTGAATTCATGGAGTTGAATTCGTGAATTGGTGAATTTGAAATCGTGAATTGGTTAAGTTGGAATCGTGAATTCATGACGTTGAAATCGTGAATTTGGTGAAGTTGGAATATTGAATTCATGACAATGAAATCGTGAATTTATGAAGTTGAAATGTCTGCACCGGTCATTCGTACGATAAAGAACTATGCGTGAAAAAGATTTGCTTGCAGTTTCCTTTCTTGTCTAATTAACGCTCTAGTCTGGGAGAGGCATAAACAATTCTTCAAATAAAAAATAGGTACATTTTAGTATTTTAGATATTTACAACATAATATACATTTACTAAGAGTATTCCAATTGAAATTTTCATAAAATGTCATTCACTCATAAATGGTTCTATGAACTAATGTAACTCGAACAATTAATCGTTTGATGAAAATATTCAACACATATCTTCTAGAATCGTAAGTTTGAAGTAATACAAAATGGTTTAACAATTCTAATAAACCAAATCTCATTATTTCAAAAATACCCAGCTGTATGATATATCAGAGAATATCTTAAATATAAACAAAATGTATGTTTTACGTACTAGTCAAACAACGGAAGGAAATGTACAGAAACTTTTGTTTTTTATCCTCACGTTTTTGTGAATTCAGTTTTCTGTTTCACATTCATCACTTCCTATATTTATCGCAGATTAAATAATATTCTTCACATATTTTCATTCTTCTGATTGTTTATGTTCTACCTTGTTTTGTTAAACAACATTCGCCATTGTTTGTAGAACGGAAATCTGAAATCTCTTTCAAGAGATATAATACGATCAGGAGCATCCCAGTAACGAACGTGCATTAATTCGAACACAAGTCTACAAATCTGAAATTATTAAATTTTATCGATATGGTTCATTATAAATGGATCTTGAAGATGAAATATTGATATCTGATTGAATCGGCGTAACGTCTCCACTTATTATTAGACATGTATTGTGTTACCGGTCTGGGGAAAGTCATATTGTCAGAGATAGTTTAAACTTTTTAAGGTCTGATATTGACCGAAACATAAATCTGTAATCGTTTACCACTAACTTAAACAGAGTATATGTGTATCTTTGAAAGACATTTAGGGTTACGGTCTACACAAATGCGAAATCGTAGCAGCAGCCAATCAGAACGGCGCTTACATCTGCGATACACGAGTAAGCTATCAGTTATACAAAAAAGATCACATTCAGTTTATATAAGTAAATAGTAGTTTATATAAGTAAATAATTGGTAGTTTATATAAGTAAATAATTGGTAGTTTATATAAGTAAATAATTGGTTAATTATATATTTCTGTCCTTGCCTCGAGAGACTCATACAATGCGATTCTTTACATTGAATAATTCTCTCTTCAATATCATAGTTTCTTTGATCACGAACGATGCCTTGCCGATGGGTATTGCTGGGAACTGCGTTCAATGAAAGTATCCTTCCATTCATATTTTATTTTCTGTGTATCACAATGTTATGTAATTACGTACCGGTTTTAAGAAAATACTTACATTAGAAGTCATCGTGCAGACGACAAAATCACATTCTGCTAACAATTGAATATCAAGAATTAATCGATGAAGTGATCTCTCGGAGTATCTCGTTTTTAACGTGTGCGCAAATACAGCTGAATCGAAATTGTATTTAAACGTGTAGTTAGGATAACTGCAAAGAAAATAATGTCTGCCATAATACATGATACTTACAGATCAGTAAAAGATAAGAGAAATGACGTACTTATTTCACGACGTCATTTACATAACCTTACGAGACGTCATTTACACTATTTCACGACGTCATTCGTGCTTCATTTTCGACGCCATTCACACACTTTTACATGACCCCATTAACATATTATTACGAAATGTCATTCGTGCCATTTTATTTCGTCATTCGTACGATAATCGTTTGATTTGTCAAACGGTTAAAATACCTATACAAAACTTTGCTACGACTCTTTTTGGTCCGAATCCAAAGTAGGACAAGATGTTATACGGCAGCTAGCTTTTCCCGCTTTTGACAATATAAGAAATAACACTTAAACATTACTTTGAAAGCATGAAAAGTCATCAACCTTCAAGAAATCTTGGTGCACAATAATATTGTTTATTTGAACTTTGCTTTCAAAAGAAACAGTTTTGTTCCTATATGTTGTGTTATTTTAATATATATGTCTACACATAATAATGGATCACCGGTTAAGGAATATATACCATTTAACAGCTGACGTACAGTGTTTCCATTTAATTTACATATCTGAAGAAAAAATAAAAGTAATAGTCACAATAATTCCAAAATAAATAAAATTGTTTAGTAGAAAAAAGTAAAATAGAAAGAGAAAAACCACGTGTCAACACACTTCACAACTACTAGTATTACTGAAAGGAACAACATACATGTACATACAAAAATGTATTACTATTTGTGTATAGGCAACAAGTATGTATACGAGTATTGTGCAAAATTGCAAACAAATAAAAAACCGTTTTATCTTACCTTTCTTTTGCTTTTCTTATAACCATGGGTTCGTCGGTAGCTAGATAAACTCTTCGCTTAACCTTACCGTGTCTTTTCTCGTAGGAGTCGTACCAGGTTCCTACGTGGCTCATATATTCATGCAAAAAGTGATATTTGGCTTCCTTACGTTTATCCGTTCTTCGAACGTGGACACTGTGGAAATGATATATTTAAGTGAAGGATTCTGATTAAAGTACTGTACGAGATAATACATTTATTTAAGTTGTATTTTTTTTTGTTTCTGTTTTCATCAAAGATGAATAAATCGTGATGAAATAGGAACACATTTTATCATTTTTTACGACTATATATTACTTATACAAACGTTTATAAATAACGGACTGTATTTACCAAAAGCAATACTGATTTTATAGTAATATGTTATCTGTCAGAAGTGCTATATTGTTATTTGACTTTTAGCTACAATTTATAATTTTACATGTAAGAAATGAAAAGACTGACAAAAAACATGAAGGTCAAAACAACAAGTCAAATTTCCACATGGCATCTGCCAGTTTTTTCTTAGATGAATGGAGTGATTGATGATAGGGTACAGAACAAATATTATATATTATATACAATAAATGAATAAATAAATAAATAAATAATTGAAAATACTTAATTATACATGTATATGAAATGGTTATCTCAAAAGAAATCAAAGTGAATAAATAACAGTTGACACTGTTGGCTGGCTCTTTTTGTTTGATAAAGAAAATAATTCAAAAAGAAACCAAACTGTTTTACACTTACCCAACTATAGGGTGAGAAAATCGAATTCTCTTTCTTTTGTCATCAATAAATCGCTTTAATGTGTTTTTCTGCCTAGTAAGATAAACTAAGAATTGTCCAACTAACCAACCGGCGGGATTCGAATGCACTCTCGTTATTTTTTTAGTAACGTCATCTGGTATCACAATTGGCAGGTACAAGGAACGTAAATTCATTTTATGAGCACGTGGGATCGTAATCGCTTCCTCTTTTTCATACTTTATTTTTCTTAAATCTGGAAAGATATGAAGTAGTTCTAAAAAATAATGTATGAACGCAAATGAGTGAAGTTAACATGTTGTGAAATTGTTTCAATAGGTTAGATAACAAAACAGACAGATTCCATGTATGTTAGGTTAACTTATATATTGCTCGGTACTGTTCTGTACCGTAACGTACTGAAGTGACGGTAATGAATACGTGGCTGCACTGCACTTTGTAATACTGTGCTCAAATTCCGGTTTTATTTCTTTGATTGTATTGTATGGTACTGTTAATCATGAATTGATTTGGAATTGTATGGTATTGGAACAAGTATAATATGATATGGGAAGTTCGTATTGGCATGGCACCCGAAACCAGCTAAAATATGAATAAATTTATAATGCATTATAAACATTATGCTTATTTTTTCCGTCGTGAAATTGATGTTAATTAGGTACATTATATATATTTCAAAAGCTTTACTTAAATGTAGTCAATGACAAAAAATTAATAATTAAAATGGTTAGGACAAAATATAAAAACTGCCTAAAATGTAAAAAGACTGCCCCACTCTTTCCGTCGATTGAGTTTTTGAGGATATTTATAAAAGTAGTCACGTAGTTTATTGATTATTTTTTCTTTGTGAAGAATACAAACATGAAGGAGGAACTGTTACACGAAGGATGTAGTTCTTTTGTGTTCTTGTGATAACTGTCACGAGGTTTGTCAGAAAACTTTTGTATAAACCACAGATGTACTCGTCAAAATGATCATTTTCATCTTTAAAAAATAATTTTCAGGTACTAAATTTAACTTAAATGATTAAACTTGCCTTACATCTTGTATTATGAGTCAAATACTAATTTATTGTCCATTTTCAGCGCCTCTTGTTTAAAATCTGGTAGATTTGGGTAAATTTTCCAAATAATTTGCAATGTCGCACGTATTGACCTGTTAATAATGCAAAGTTGCAAACGTAAAGCCGCGGCAAATTATTGCCCGATTTTTCAAATGTCCTTGAGTATTTTTAGAACGTTCAAAATGCCCTAGAGTTCTTGTGATAACTTTGTTACCACTAGTGTGCTTCTTGCGCTAAATCACTACACGTTTAAGCGTTTTTAATTATTCAATGAGGTTAATCTTTAAAGTTTAATGTAGCACCTAAAACTACTTTTTTAAATGAAAATGATCTTTTTTGACGAGTGTTTCACTATTATATAAGAAGAATTCTGATAAACTGCGTGACAGTTATCACAAGAACCCCTGATACGTTATCATAAGAACTCAATCCCTCGTGTAACAGTTCCTGCCAAACAATAAACGCAAAATCTAGGTCACTACGATATAATTGTATTGTTTATTTTCCATGTCACGGCGGTGTATATATATATATATATTAAATAGAAATGAGAGAATATATGCACGCATACCACCACATCGATATGCCTGTCCAATTACGGCACAGCGCCTAGCAGAACAGTCATGAAAGCATAGCCACTGCCCATCCACCATGTTCTATACAGTCACAAACTGCACTGCACATTGAAACAGGCTCAAAATTCGCATATATAGAGTTTGTTCTCTGTTATCATGTCTCACAAATCAACAATGACATTTTTATTGTCTTCTTCACTGATTGGGACCAGAGAACTATATATCTATTTCCGAAAATCAACTGGATCCCGTAAGATCAAGTAGATCCGAAGGATACAATGAATGTAGACAGATAAAGTAAATATAAAGGGAGATAATTAAATTCAATACAGTTATACTTTCCCCTACGTGGGATCACTTAAGATACAAGTGTGCAGATAAATTATTATAGAAATGAGAGAATATATACACACATAAAACCACATCGATATGCCAGTCCAATTACGGCACATCGCCTAGCAGAATAGTAATGAAAGCATAGCCACTGCTCATCCACATCATATATATATATATATAGTTGTCTAACTACCGTCATATGGGTCATTTCGTCAAAATCTGACTCACGTTGTGGTATATGGGTTATCAATATTTTGATCCATAACACGCCAGTGTTTTAGAAGCAAAATTTAATTGTAAATAACATTAATCGAATTAATAAGAAAAAAAAGAGTGTTTTTCATGACCCACAAGTATCTATAATCAAAGCACTGAAAGTACTGGAGTGTCGATTGTGTTGTGAAATATATAACCTTTCACAGCCCGAGTCTGTTTATTGATTACGCCATTTATTTTCGTTGCAGAACAGATATGGTAGTATTTCCCACTGTTTTAAGCATAATATATATCACCCTTAATTGGCACCCCCTACTGTTTTGTAATATATCACACTTCCCAATATACAGTATACACAGCTCCCAATATACAGCTCGTTAACTTCCAATAAAGTGCAAGCCCCTTCTGTGTGTCCATATCCCACTGTTTTATGAGGGGCTGGGATACATGGTTTGTTAACTATTTAAGGCTAATGAATTTATGTTTTAACAATTGACCAATTTTAATCACAAAGATACTTTCAACATCTCTATCTTTGGCACCTCTTTCTATATAATTATCATGTTATGGATTTTGTGTTTGTTTCTTCTAGTTTTTTTTAAATAGTATTTTTATTTGATGTGTGAAACATTCCTATACAGTTGCAAAGCTTACTACTTCTCTATAATGCATCATAAGAACAAGATAAGTTTAGTATTACTGTAAAAAGAATTTTTAGTTCAATTCTGTAACATCCGTCCCCTTCTGTACCCTTAGTTTGTAACCACAGAATAACAAAAGATTATATTTGTTATAAATTCATATAAGCTTAAGTATTATCTTAATAAACTCATAGGTCCACTTGATGTTAAAAAATAAAATATAAATTGTATTTCAAAGTAAATAATTTTGTTTTCAGAGCAAAAAATACTGATTTTTTTTTCAAAATTAAGGAATTTCGTGTTCACAAATAATATTTTTTTTATAAATACATCAATTCAGTGCTTTATTTCTGTTATTTCTTCATTTTTCATTGTAGATTTGGTGTTTTAGTGTAAAAACCCTTTCCAGTTACAGTTTATGCGAGATTTAATAAGCATCTTATATAGGGGGACGGATGTTACGGGGACGGATGTTACAGACAACTTTTATAGTATTGTATTTTTTTTCTCATAAACATAGAAATTGGCATTTTTTATAACATTTTCATTGTAAAGCTATCATTAAGCACCAGAAACATTGTTTTTTATGAGTATTGTTTTATAATTGGATATTTTATGAGAGGGGGGCGGATGTTACAGTTTTTTCATCACAAATTTTTTTTTACCACTAAAATGCCTATTTTGGTAAAAATGTTTGAAAATTTGAATTGAAAACACTTAATATATGTTTTTAATTCATATTTCATTAGATTGAGACAATAAAGTACTATTTTATTTGTAATTGCTTAAAGGTATACTTGTTTGCTTAACAACTGAATTTTGAAAAAACTGATGCATTACAAAAGTCTGATTTTACTAAAATCATCTTAACGATAAAAACCAGGATGATGTATACCAAGTATTATATATCACTGGAAAGGTTATTAAATTTTCTATGTGCATGTAAAAAAAATTAAGTGATAAATTAAAACAGATAATAGCGGTGTTTATTCTAAAAACACCAAAAAAAAAAAAAAAGATGCTAACACATTACATGTAAAATTGGACATTTTTAGGGTATAAAAATGTCTGTATCTTTATTTTGGGTAATGCTATCACAAAAAAATTTGGGGCACATTTGCTTTATAGTAAGTTCTATATAAAAACACAAAAAAATAATAGAAAATGCAATATGTTTTTTGAAAAGCCTGCATTACATGTATTTTTGAAAAATTGGCTCATTTACTGTGCAGCAGGCAATTTGATAATTTCACAGTGAAAATGATCCAAATTTCAAACTTTTCAATGACGAGACTACTTTTTAAAGATTTTCCCCATGTGGTACCTTAATATCATTTTTGCTGACAATTCTGACATTCTCAGGACTGTTTCAAGACTAACCTATCCAAATAATATTCCTCTGAATAAAACAAAATTAATTTTCCTTAAAATACACAACTTTTAAAAATGGCCGCCACTTACATTTCACAAAGCCAGGTCATACATAAATTGCCTGAGTAACAGAAATAAGGTGGGATGGTGTGACTTTTTCTTCTAGAATTGTTTGTTTTTATTATTAAAACAAGCGATTATTCATATTTTTTTAATAAAATAAATAAAATCATTGCTATTCAACGTTGATTGTCAAACTTTTTGTTCAGCCCAAGACTCCTGTATTTATGAATAATTGGACTTAAATTCAACTAAAATTGATGTTAACAGTGGGGAAAACAGATTTAATAATTATTAAAGTTAATATTGAGGAAATTTCATTAGCATAAAATAAAAAGACACTTTATTGTTTGTTGTGTAAGATGTATAATTTTATATCATTGAGGGACTTTTAAATAACAGTGTTCTCACTCGTGAGAATAATGTTTTTACAGCTCACTTGATGATATAAAATTTCATCTTACACACTAACAATCAAATACAGTTGACTCTCAACAAGTCAAAATCGCTTTACTCAAAATTCCGCCTTAGTCGAATAATTTCTAAAGTCCCGTCAAATTTCCTTCTTTATCTTTGTATTTTAACTCCGCTTATGTCAAATTTTATCCTCTATAGATTTGCATTTTTTAAAAATAAAAACATGTCTAGTCACTTCCTTCATTTGCTTCAGGTAAGGTCTCGGACACTTTGTTTCTTGCTTTCCTTCCCCCATCGCGGTCCCACGCCCAAGCCAGCCACTTTGAAACCTTTATTTCAATATCCTTCCTCGTCGCAGTCTTTGTCGGCAAGTTCCTTTGGACACATTCTATAAAACAAGCATCCTTATCCTTAAAGAATGAAATGAAATGCAGTGAAATGTAGGTATTGAAACCATTCAAAGGTCATAAGTCACCTTGTAGCATTTTGAGCATAAAATTGGAATATAAACTAATTCTAGTATGTTTTAACAAATATAGATGTTTGTGTCCCGGTTTTACATAGCTTTTAACAATATTTCTGTGATATCGCTGCAGTCAGTTGTAAGCTGAGATCATCTTATCGGTGTATCAGTAAAGAATGTTAAGGTAAGCAAATAACTTGCTATACAGGAAGGTGATTTCTGCTTATATTATGCATCACAACACAATGCATGGGATCAAAACCACACAGCATGTAAAATATTCTCTCTTATTAATTTCCATAAAAGCTAATCAAGCATTTTCTTTCATTAAAGCGATACCTGAAGACACAATAACAAGATCTTGGATAATATATCTATTTTGAAGCCTTATTTAAAGACACCACTTTGCAAATTCGCAATATATCACTTACTATACAATATATTCAGTATCTAGAGGCCCCCAAATGTTTTCTTCCCTTTCAGCCCCTTCATATTGAACATTCTTGCCAGTTCATTTGACATGGTTTCTATCATCTAGCGGTCAACAGTTTCCCGCACAACTGCCCCACCAAACATTGAGAGGAACCGCACCTTAAATAAAGCAGAACATAAACTTTTTTTAATGTTAATTTTAACACTACTAATTTTCAAAATTTGTGATGCGCTGCAAGTCACCAAATGACAAATAATTGTCAACTGGACCTCAAATACATGATCTGCCAAGAAAACTGTTTGAATTGACAAATTAAAAGACCTTTCCTCATATATTTACAGCCTAAGTGACTTGTGCCTTTTTGTTTGTCCCCTCCACCGAGTGTAATGGGGCACATTATCATTGTTGTTTTTTTAACACGAGTTTATACAGTATGAACAGAATAATTTTTGATATTATAATAACAGCGCAATTCCTGGATTTTGTGGGTACTAGTCATTTTCCTGGTATTTTGAAAGCTGCCAGCATTTTGACTAATGAATCGACTGTCTTGTCTTAATAATCAATGTTGAAAACGAGGCCAACTGCCCATGTCTTGTGCTCATGGCTATTATAGCATATCTAAATAATAAGATAACTGTTTCAATATGAATCAAAAAATTAAAACAAGCCAGTTTTTAATTCCGAAAGTAATGCAGTAAAGTGTTTGTCCATTGTGCAATATTGTCCTACATAAGTATAGCAGAATGATAATACATTATCATCAAGTGCTAACCACAGACCATTATGTTATTTCGCATATAAGCCAGTGGATATGAGGTATACTTTTTTCAGTTACTAATGGTGCAATAATTACATGACTAACACTATGCTTACCACAGATGACAGCTTTGTCTTATCTCCCAGAAGCTCATCGAATGTTTCCATCTGCTAAGGAGAACGAATAGGGAATGAGATATCTTCAGGAAGCTGCAGCGGTTGGTCATCTGCTGCTGACCTTGACAACAATTGCTACATCATCCTCTTAATTTCACTATTCTCCTCCCGCATTGTCTCCAAGACTCAGAGAATCTGTGTAACAGCAGCTGCAAAAAAGGATTCATAATTCTAGGCTTTATACTTTTAGAGCTATGTGAATTACAAATGAAAAAAATCCAGTATTTTAAATTTTTCCTTGGCTTTAACAGTAATTAACGCTAAAATCTCAAAAGGATTGTTGAGTGTGCAAGGTCACAAAATGTGAAAATGATAAGAAATCATGAATTAAACTTAAAATATTTTTGAGCTAGGCATGTCATGGGGTGAAAATAAACATTTTTGACTATTCCAAGGACCGTAACTTTGGATAACAGTTGTGGGGTCAGACAAGAATAGGCGAACATTAATTCACATCATGATAAAGACTAACACAAGTAATCATCAATTTCTTTTGATTTTTTTTTTAACTAGGGGCGTCATAAGGTGAAACCTTCCATTTTTGGCTGTGTCACTCAATCCAGCTTGTTACAACATTTATTGGCTTGTTTTGAGGATAGAACATTTAATAAGTATGTACTGTAATGAATATATTTACAGCTCTGAAGTTTATACTTACTGGGCCCAATAATCTGCCCACGGGAGGGCGTATCAGAAGCACCTTGTATTAGAGAAGCACTTTGCACATCACAGCTGGCCTCTCGCAATGCCTGTGCAGATAAGCAGATAGGCGGAGGTGAAAGTAGGCTTCGTGCCTGTTTGGGCGTTGTTGCTTTGTCAATAACTTGTGATGGCCTACTCTCGGTGTCTGTCTCATTCTCATCAGTGTCACTATCTGATTCATACAGCCTTTTTGATGGCCTATTGACAATAAAATGAAAATACATTAATAAGTAGTTAAAAAATACATATACATTAAGTGAGTTATTGCACCAAGTGACAATATGATTATGACCTGTACACGGCTGACAAACATGTATTAGTCTATGTTTACGTACCAAATTGTTGTGCCGCAATTTATTCTACCAAGGATTTTTAGCACGAATGCGCTCGTTTCCTGATAGGATTATTTCATGAACAGGAAGGGCTAGAGACTTGGAGTTGGTCTCCTTTGGAAGCTTATTATACAAATGTGAAATAATGATAAAAGATTTTTTAATTGTCTGGACAATTGTTTTCACAACGGCCCGGGTAGTGAATCCCTTGCTCGTAGGCTCGAATCTAGAGTTTCCGGCCTTCTCTTAACTTATAGTATGTTTTTAAAGGGGGTCATAATTTACATTTTTTTTGGTTTTCGAATTTTTAAGATGAACACAGGTTTAATTATCTATCAGGTCATATTTTTTCTTCTGAGGTCCGATACTCATGCCTGTGCAACAGCTAGAGGGCTTGGTTGGTACTTGGAAAAAATACTTGAATTTGTAAAAATAAGTATTTGTATTCAATATTTTAAAATGCTTATGAATGAAATGTTGGTACAAAATGGAAGGGACTTCTAAGGCTAGGGGGGTGGGGGACACTGGATTTCAAATGATGGTGTCACTTTAAAAAAAGATCTCTTAAAATTTAGTCTAGATAGAAACAACATTTTTAAAATGTTAGTGTCGACTCCGTCACAGTTAAGTAATTCAACAATAACAACTATACACATGCATAGGTCAGCTAAAGTGCCTAAGAGTCAGGGCGTAAATTCTAGAAAATGTCGCAAATTAAACGACTATTGGGAAATTACATGGCAAAGGCAAAACCAAAAACTAAACAGCCTTTACAGCTTACCTACACACACAATAAACATGTAATGATATAATATGAAAAGTCGTTATACGAAATCGTGGTTAAATGCTCGGAATCGAAAAGAAATATTTTTTTCGTGTACAATTTTACAATTTAAATACACAATTTTATTTTAAGCGGCAGCGGAAATCACGTCTGCACGTGCTCGAAATAAATTTTTTCATCAAAAACTGATTTTTATAAATTATTTCTGAATTTATAGTCTAAAAACACATTTTTATATTTAAATAATAAAAATTAAAACCAATATAAAAACTTAACAAATTAATTTCTCGCACCTGCTCAGGCAAAGCCGCATGCTAATATTTATCGGGTTGCCCAAATGGGACCCATATGGGTCCCTCATGGCTTGTATAAATGTTTAAAATAATGCTACGATTTTATATAAGATAATAGCAATTTATGCCAAGGTGGTCACACTATAGCTCAAAGTAAACGAGTTCTAAAGAAATAAATAAAAGAAAAATCGTTTTTCCTTAAAGTGCTGGAATATGGTACGCATATGGGTCTAATATATAGGCGTACCCAAATGGACTTGCCAATATTGGATCCATATAGGTCCAATATGGGCATACCCATTAGCTTGCCTAGATATAGCCCATATGGGTCCCATATATGCATGTTTGCTGGGTATGTATTATTCAGTACAGTACCTCCAAAATCTGCATATTCTGCACATATGTCAATAAGTATACACATTGTGACAATAAGAAATATTTAAGGTTAAATGTGGTAAATACTCTGTGATTACTTCTCACATTTACTTGATATTAATAACCAATACTCGTTACATTAAAAAGCATACTAGTGACACCGGCGAGCAACTCCAAAGCAATACTCGTTAAACTGACATGTTTATTTATTCTCAAAATGCACTGTCATCTGAAATTTTATTGTTGTCAGATTGAACGTTTACCTTGAATTTACCTTTGTTCATAGTCTTGAAATGGGAGGAAAGTCCTCGTAATATCGAGCAATATCCGGCGGTAAAGGCTCCCACGTTTACATTTTTTTGTAAACCTTTACATGATTGCTAAGAACCGAATCGATACCGTTTAAACGGTGGTACTTCTTAATGCACTATACTATACCATGTATTCGAGTCGCCAAATGATGACTTACTCTCTATACAAGTAAATAATGTTCAGTGCTCATCACGATTTAGGCGGCACACATTTTTTTGCATTGTATCCGCATTTCGTTATTTAAAAGATCAAAGAAAAATCAACTTTAACAAAAATGAATTATGTCACAAGCGATTATTGCACGGTGATGGTGTGTGGTCCGGGTTGTAAACACCCATTTTCCATTTTTACTTTGATAAACCAATTAGTATAGATAAAATCCATGATTACAGGAAATTATTAAGATAATTTGTAAGACAATATGGTCATCTCGAATAAACGGTAAAAAATATCATAACCGTTTATGAATGAAAATCGAAACGAATCCGTTTAAAAGTGTAACCGTGGGGGCCTTACCGGCGGTACGGTATTCCTCAGTGGAACTAGTTTTGTTGCTCTATGTTGAATTATGTATCTTTGTTTCATGTGTTCATACCTTTCATTGTTTTACGTTTTCATGTCATAATTTATATACCTTTTCTAATTGAAATTGTTATTGATGAAAGTGTGTGAGGGAAGAATTTACAGTTCATAAATGTTTAGGCTACTGGTTGGGGACCACCAAAACCGGACAACCACCAAAACCCGGACGGCCCTGAAAATGCTTAATTTAGTATTTTCTTTGTTCAGTGGTTGTCACTTTTTTATCAACAATAAATGCATGTTTCTTCTAAAAATAAATAAATAAAATTTATTTCAACCACCGTAAATGGTAATATAATTTTAATGGCTATTTCAAGAATGTTGACGTTGAAATTTGGGGGGTCAAGAAAACAATGCCTGACCTCATATACCATCTATAATCATTTGCAGAGTAAACAATAGAATTTCCAAAACTTCAGCATTTGTTTCTGAATCATTGTCTATCATGATAAAAATTAAAACACCCAAGCTGTTATCTGAATTAAATAACGTCATGTACATAAATGTCCGGACACATGGTACTGTAGTTGTAGACAATTGAGGTAATTTTGATACCTCCTTGTCGAGCCTCAGATATAAGTGTCAATACAATCAGACAAACAAGTTTGTTAGTTAGGGGAAGAACCTAGCTGAACCTTGTCAATTTTTTTGGTCTCTAGGTTAAAACTTATGAAACCTGTACAGAAAAATGTTCAAAAAGTGTCCGCGGTTGATGGTCCCTGACCCTGTTGTATTAATCACAACATCTCATCTTAACAAAGATATTGAACATACAGACCTTTTCAATTATTTTTAGTATATGTGATCTACCGCCGGATGTTCATCAACTAAACAATCTTAAGTGATTTCTTTTTTGTTGCGGACCGAGTTGGTTTAGTGCCGAGTGGACACTTATCTTATACCTCTTCGTACACATTGATAAGATAAGATAAGTTTTATTTCAAGTCGGCAAGCTTTCAACAGTACAACATAAGCTCTAGGAGCTTTTATAACCGACTGTATATAACATAAAGTATAAGATCAACAAAGATAAAACAGCTACAATAAAAAATGATTAGACATGATATATATACATCACATACATAAAATAGACCTTTTTAGATATTTTTATAAAAATGAATCAGATGGTAAAAAACTAAATGATAGTCAGTGTTCCCATTCACGCACAAATGTGAATTCCGTATAATTTACAAAAATCACGCATGAAATTACAACTAGGTGCGTGCATGCACGTATAAAAATTGAAGTAAAACTGCCAAAAAATTATCCGCAAATTCGAAGCACAAATCAATAATCTACTCACAAATCTCTGAAATTGTTTACAAGACCGTAATTTAATCCGAGGTCATAACTTGGGTTTCCCAGCTGTGCTATCTTTAGCTCATGGACTGGTTTATAATTATTAATGACGGCTTCGCACGCTTTGCTCATTCTGGGACAATTTATTTTGTTTATTAGTCAAAATCGCTGTATGAGTATCCGATACTTACAATTTCTTCAAAATAGCCTGATATCTGTGTCAAATAACGAAGTCGAAACTGCATTTCAATCTGCTTGAATAAAAATGGCGTCGTTGTTGAAGAGCCAATCACGTGATTCACTCGCGCATTAATATAATTTCTGCGTACAGTACAAATTTAAACTAAATTGTAATTTTAATTTTCAATACTTTAATACAATTATAAATGTATGACAACCCCTTCTATATTCAATGCATGAATGGATTTTCTAACTTGTAACCGAACATACGGAACTATTTTTTTTGTCAACGAAATTCGGTTGGCAATAAGAAATAGTTCGGTTAGCGCTAGCGCGCGGAGCAAATATACCGTATATCGTGAAATGGAAAGGCAGAGTTGCGATTGTTTGGAATTGCGATTGTTTGCCTGTAGATGGGTGGTTATACCTTTGTGTCGATTTACAATCGACACAAAAATGACCCACAGTGCAACATCTATTTATAGAACACGCTTCAAGGAAAGCTTCTTTGCCAGAAATGAAAACCCACAACGTTATATATGTGCCCGCTCGATGACCCGTAGAATGGTATGGTATAGCCGCAGTGCATTCTTGGAAACAAAATGGCGGCGCTCTCCCGGGGGAAAACGAGCGGTAAGTGAAAAACATCAAATTCTATCATTTTGGCATTCAATTTGCACATTTAGGAAATTATTTAAATAAACATAAACAAATTATTGAAAGTCGATAACCTTTGGGGCGTTTAAACGCAGCTGTTCTAGATAAAGTGTGTTGATTAGGGGTGAAACAGAAGTACCGCATTTTTGGTTACGGTTCGTGCCGAGGACAAAAAGTAAATCCAATAAAATTTGCGTAAGTAGGCATTTATCAGGTAAAAACATGCTTAAAATATGAGATTGTAAGAGAATCTGCAGTGAAATCATTAATAATACTGTTAAACAAGAGGATATTTCACGCAAAGAGGTGTCTAGCCGTACGGCACTTTTCAAAATTATATGGAAGTCGACTATGCATATGTTATTTTGTACCTCATGATTATAATTTGTTGTTTTATTTGTATGAAAGGTGATGTTTTGTTAATTAAGCACTTGGATCGAATTAATAATAATCGGGGTGGAATAAATAAAAAGAACATTGAAAACACAACAACAACCCCCCCCCCCCCAAAATGATGAAAAGCAAAAATAATTGTATTGTTACAGGGACACAATTTGTCAGTCTAT